CCCCATTACGGCAGCACAGCCTAGGGAGGGTTCACTGATAGAAAGGCTAGAGCGTAATGTTGTTGTAGGGATGGAAGCAATAGCCTTTGGTTTTATGTCTCCTGTTTTCAAAAGTCCATCTCCTGGGCCTTCAAAGGATGAAAGCATTACAGTAGAGAAGGGAGCCTTCCCAGGCTTGGGCAGATGCCAGCCAGCCTTGAACCTCATCTGCCGGATGAGCTCCCTGGGGTACAGGGAGAACATGTAATGCAGCATGTCAGCTTGTGAATGCCTGGTCTTGCTGGATGTCTGTGAAAATGGAGGAACCTGGCGGTTGGGGGCTTGTGTGCAGGTTGGTGGTGCCGTGCCCTTTTGACCACAGCAGTTGCTAAACTAGCACAAGTAGGGTGAGGTTTGTTATTAAGGTACAACAAGCATTTTTGCTTCGAGTCTTCAACACGTCCTGCCTCATATCAGAATGACACTAAGTGCAAGTACCAGCCTACCTGTGGCTTACATCATGGGGATATTTCGTTATCACACATAACTCAAAGTCCAGAGTTAGGCAGCCGATAACTGTTTCTGCTGCCTGGTGATGTCAAAGGTCAGGCCCCCATGTTAGCAGTTCTAGCTTCTCCTTCCCGGTCACAGGGTGACTTTAGCATCTCCATGCATCCAGTGCTGATCTTGTGGCCCCACCATGGGCAGGGGCGTGGCCTCGCATCTGGACATTGTCTCCTTTCTGCTCTGCTGCATGGACAGGTTGGTCTCAGGCCTGATGGTTAGCACAGTCGGCCCTAGAGCTGTGCAAGTAGGATCTCTTCACAGCACCATGGAGGCCTTATAGGTGGGCACTTGGTGGAGGAAATTATAGGGTTCTGGGTCTAAGTGTGCTTGGAGACAGAGGGGACATAAAATGGGTTGTAAGGTGCCAATGGCTGATGAGCACACAGGGCTCATTAGGGCCCCCCTACTCTTACATGTTTGGGATTGTCCTTTAAAAAAAAACCCCAAAAGGTACTAAAGCCCTTTTACTCTTCCCTCTTCCTTAAGGATTGTGGCACCAAAGGCTTTCTTGTTAGCCAGGCTACCCTGTCCAGACAGCACAGACCGTGGGGCTCCAATGGAGCCAGTCTTCCCACCATGTGGGTGTGGAGAGAGGTCGCCAGTGTCTCTTCTTCCTCTTAATTCCCTCTCGGCATAGTCACATCGGTAGCTAGCATTCCTATGAATCTGGGGGACTACTCAGTCTACAGCACTCCTGTACTTCCAGAAGAGTCTGCTGGCCACATGAGTACCCCGCTAGCCTGACTTCGTTTCCCAGCCCTGCTTGCAGGTGGATGTGGCCATACAGTTAAGCGCTGATGAACCGTCCGATGAACTGTGATCAGACACAGCTTGTGCTCCTTCGGTGCTTTCCCTTTGCCCACCGCTTCCCCTCCCTGCAACCTGGCCTTGACCCTATTGATGATGACAAACTCCCTGGGGGCAGACACTGCTGGAAGGGGCCCACGAGTGATCCGATGGAGCCCGGCTGCTGCCCGCTGGGCTATTCACACTGGGACTGCTGCACAAGAAATAAAATTCTGGGGGGCGCCTGGGTCAGTCATTGAGCGTCTGCCTTCAGCTTGGGATGTGATCCCAAATCTGGTTGTCCCCAACAACTTGCTTGACCAATAAAATGTAGTGAGATTTCTCAGGACTACCGAGGAGTTTTCACAAGTAGTGCAGCTTCTACTGAGGCTCACTGGAACTCTCTGGAAGCCCTCCCTGCATGGTTAGAACAGTACCAGTACCTGGGACTGCTGTGCTGGAGAGGTCTCATGTAGGCACGCTGGTCCACGACACCAATCATATGCTACCTTCCAGCTACCCCAGTGACCTCTAAAGTATTACATAGAATGAAAGAATCACTCGGCTGAGCCCGGCTGAAATGCATGACTCAAAAATTCTGAGTGTTGGGGTGCCTGGGTGGCTCAGTGGGTTAAAGCCTCTGTCTGGCTCGGGTTGTGATCCCGGGGTCCTGGGATCGGGCCTGTGTTGGGCTCTCTGCTCAGCAGGGAGCCTGCTTCCCTTCCTCTCTTCTCTGCCTGCCTCTCTGCCTACCTGTGATCTCTGTCAAAGTCTATAAAAAAAAATCCTGAGTGGTAATAAAATACCTTTTTTAAAAAAGATTTTATTTATTTGACACAGAGAGAGACAGAGAGGGAACACAAGCAGGGGGAGTGGGAGAGGGAGAAGCTCCTATCAAGCAGGGAGCCCGATACGAGGCTGGATCCCATGACCCTGGGATCATAACCTGAGCCAAAGGCAGACGCTTAAGGACTAAACCACCCAAGTGCTCCTAAAACGGTTCTTTTAAGCAATTGTTTTCAGGTAGCTTATTATGCAGCAATAGCTGGAGCACACAGGTACGTACAGCCATATGAACACATGTTCATCAGGGCATTACTGATGCTAATGAAAACTTCGTACAATCAAAACATTGTACATCTGTTGTTCAAAGTATGGCACACCAATGCAATGAAATAATCTAGTAAACAAAATGAAGTAGAACGAGTAAAACATGGCCTGGTGTTTACAAAGAGTATGAAGTTAAAAATGTAAATAGTAGAAAAGTGGATAGTGTGATTCACCGGTAAGAAAACCAACAGCCCACGTTAAAAAGTGGACAAAAGTTAGGAAGTGCCTGGGTGGCTCAGCTGGTTCAGCATCTGGCTCTTGGTTTCAGCTTGGGTTGTGATCTCAGGATCTGGCCCTTCACTGGGCTCCACACTCAGTGGGGAGTCTGCTCCCCCTCTGCCCACCCCCCACCACTTTCTAAATAAAATGTTTTTAAGTTTTCTTTTTAAGATTTTATCAACTTATTTGTCAGAGAGCGTGAGAGAGAGAGCACAAGCAGGAGGAGTGGCAGGCAGAGAGAGGAGCCTGATGTGGGACTCGATCCCAGGACCCTGGGGATCATGGCCCTAGCTGAAGGCAAATGCTCAACCAACTGAGCCACCCAGGCATCCCATAAAAATTTTTTTTTCTCAAAGATTTTATTCATTTATTTGATAGTGAAAGCAGGAACACAAGCAGGGGAGGTGGGAGAGGAAAAGCAGACTTCCTACCAAGCAGAGAGCCTGATGCGGGGTTCAGTCCCAGGACCCTGGGATCACAACCTGAGCTGAAGCCAGATGCCTAATGACCGAGCCACCCAGGCGCCCCTCTAAATAAAATCTTTTTTAAAAAGTTAAAAAAGAAGAAATGGGCAAAAGTTATGAACAGACACCTCACCCAAAGAGATGTACAGACAGCAAATACACATGTAAGAAGAATTCATTAGGGAATTATGTCATTAGGGAATTGCAAACAGAACAATGAAATATCTTTACCCACCCATCAGAATGGTCAAAATCCAGAACACCGACAACACCAAGTGGTAGTGAGGATGTGGAGCAACAGGATCTCTCATTCTTTACTGGTGGAAATGGAAAGTGATACAGCCACTTTGGAAGCCAGTTTGGTGGTCTCCTACAAACCTAGACAATCTTACTCTTCTTTGTATTTAACCAAAGGAATTAAAAACATGTCCACACAAAAACCTGTACATTAATGATTATAGTAGCTTTATTCATAATTGGCAAAATTTGGAAACAACCAAGATGTCTTTCAATAGGTGAATGGGTAAACTGGTACATCCAGACCATGAAATGTTACTCAGCATTAAGAAGAAATGAGCTACCAAGCCACAGAAAAGCACGGAGGAAACAAATGCATATTACTAAGTCAAAGAAGACAATCTAAAAAGTCTGCGAAATGTGTGATCCCAACTCTACAACATTTTGGAAAAGGGAAAACTGCAGTAAAAAGATCAGTGTTTGCCAAGGGTGCGGGGAGTGGGGAAAGGGCTGACAAGGTAGAACACAGCATTTTGGAGGCAGAGAAAGGATTCTGTATATTGTAATGTTGGATACATGTCATTACACATTTGTTAAAAACCTACAGAATATACAACACAGAGTGAACCCTAAAGTAAACTACGGACTTTAATAATAACGTATCAAGGGCCGCCTGGGTGGCTCAGGCAGTTAAGCGTCTGCTTTCAGCTCAGGGACCGACTCAGGATTCTGGGATCCAGTCCCTCATAGGGCTCCTTGCTCAGCGGGGAGCCTGCTCCTCCCTCTCCTCCTCTCTCTCTGACAAATAAAATCTTAAAAAAAAAATACTGTGTCCATATTATTTCACCAGTTATAATAAATGTAGCACACTAGTGCCAAGTGCTTGTAGTGGGGCTGTGTTTGCGCGTGCGCACGTGTTTAGGGGTCTATAGGAACTCTATTTTCTTCTCGATTTTCCCGTAAGCTTAAAATTACTCCAAAAAATGTAGTTTATTTAGTTAGAAACAACGCAGGCACCGAGGTCGGCGGTGCGCGGTCGCGTACCTGCGCCTGTGCACTCCCCCGAGCACCGAAGGGACGTGCGCGGGCCGCGAACACTCGGACTCAAAGCTGAACCGGAGGCAGGTCCGCAGCCCGAGGACGTGGGGAAACCTGTCAACCATTCACGCGAACGTGAAACTGGAAACACTGTGTTTCGTTGGCTAGTATCAGGCAGGTTTCGGGGAAGCTCACGAGGGCACGCTCCGTTGAAGCACGCATCTCTAGCGCCGAAGCCGCTACAGCAGCTGCCCGAGCGAGCAGTGCCCGAGCCTCCGGAGCCCGGTCCCTCCGCCGCACCCGCACTCCACCTGCACGTGCGCCGCTGGCCGCTGCAGGCCCCGCGCCGCACACCCTGCCCGTCCTCCCGGGGAGGGGGCGGGAGCCTGGGGCCGCGGCCACGCGGGCAGGGACGTGCACCCAGGACGGGCGGGGTCCCCAGACCCCACTCCCCCGGGCGCCTGAGCCAGGAACCCGACCCGCTCCCGCGCGACGCCGTGCGCAGCCCGCCGGCCGGAAGCTGTGGGGCGGATCCAGACGGCGCCCCGCCCCGCCTGACGGGCCAATCACCGCCCGAGGTTCATTAATACTGAAGGTACCGGCCCCGCCTCCGCCCCTCGCGGCACCGCCCGCCCGCGCAGACCCAGAGCGCGGCCGCGGACGAAGATGGCGACCGCCATGTACTTGGAGCACTACCTGGACAGTAAGCGCCCCTCGCAGCCCTTGGGTCTTGCGCCCGCGCAGGGCCTCCCCACGCGGGCCCACCCCGCGGGCACCAGGTGCCGCTCGCGAACCCGGAGGGCTCGTTGGGGCGGCAGGGGCGGTCCGGCAGCGGCGGGGGCGGCGGGGGCGCGCGCCGGGCGGGGCGGGGCCGCAGGGAGGTGCGCGCGGGGGGCGCGGCGCGGGGTCCTACCGTCACGGCCGCGCCAATTCCAGGTGCGTCACGGGGAGGCGGGGGCCCGTGCGCACGGGGCGGAGCTTGCGTTCCACGGCCCCGCCCTCCCCGGCTAGGCCCCGCCCTCCCCGGCTAGGCCCCGCCCTCCCCGGCTGGCCCCGCCCTCGGCCCCTCCCGGACAAGTCCCGGCTCACGGCCCCGCTCCGCCCTTCCCAGCCCCCTCCGCTCTCCTGGCCCCACCCCCACCCTAGGCCCCGCCCCTGCCCCGCCCCCACCGCGGAGTCAGGCTAGGGTGGTTGGGCGCGGGCGGTCGGGCGCAGGTCGTTGACCTCAGCAGCTTCGGACGCTGGGCGGTGCTTGGGGGGGTGCTCCGGGTCTGGGATGTGGGGGGAGGTCTCCGGCCTGGGTTCTGTGTCGGCTCGTGTGGTGACCTGGGTGTTGGAGAAGATAACTGGCGTGGGCAGTCCCCTAAGATGCCCGTCCTTCCGCGTGGCCTTGGTGGGAGGGGACTGGCGGGGCTGGTTCAGGTGTTGAGCCCAGGGATGGTCACCACGGAAAGCCGCCTGGGAGGTGCTTCCTGCAGGCGTCCTTTTGTCTACATGCAGCTCAGCTTGGGGCCTCCTGAGAACTCCTGAGCAGATGGGGAAATGCAGGCCGCAAAGGCCAAGTAGCTTGTCAAGGTCATGCATTCGACAGCGGAAAGCCCACGTTTGAACGCTGCTGATCTGAATTTGGATCTGGCTCTGGCTGCGTTCGGCCTTGGCGTCGGGGAGGGGGACGGGCGGGAGGGCCTGGGCTGGGTGCTCTGGAGCTCTGTGTTGCAGTAGGAATATGCACGGTTATTGGTACCTGCCTCTACTGCCCTGGGGGACACGTTGGGGTTCAGCTCTCCCCAGGGTGGTTGCCAGTCCGAGCCTGAGCCATGGGGGAGTCCCGGTGGGAGAGCACTAAAAAGGGGAGGCCTTTCCCTGCCATTGTCACTACTGTTCTGTCATGTCTGTTGGGGAGCTCTGTGGCTTCCCTTCTCTGTCCCAGTACCTACCCAGTGAGCCCTATGAGGACACTTTGAGGTTTGTGGATTCCATCATGCATGGGGCACCTGTGTGAAGGCTTAGGATGGAGGTGACGGCTTGATTTTTGAGCACTTGCTGTGTGCTAAGCCTCGGTCCTCATTTTCCTGGAACTTATTTCCAAATGGGCAAATGGATTTTTAAAAGTTCACAGATTAAGGGGCATGAAGGAGCCCAGCAGGTTGTGAGAGACCCGGGGTGGCACTGTCCCGCAGAGCCCAGGATAGAACCAAATAGGGAGGTCCTTGGGGAGGCTGTGGTGAGCCTTGAGGCTGGGGAGGGCCTGTGTGCCAGTCTCTGGGTGAGCTGGACAGCTGTCATCTGTGCAGACAGGCTGGAAGGCTGGCCTGGAGCAGGAGGATGGCAGCGCAGTGTGGAAGGCAGTGTGGCCTGGGGTCCTCTACCTGTGCTGGCCAGTGTGGTCTGTTTAACTTGAAATTAATGAAACTTGAGCAAATGCAAAGTTCAGTCCCTCAGTCATAGTAGCCCCATTTCAGGTGCCCAGCAGCCCCACGGCCAATGCCTGCTGTGTTGTGTAGCTCAAATGTTCTGTCTCCTTGCATGAAATACACTACACAGCACTGGCCTGCTCCACCCTGTGCATTGGGTGTTTGAGTAAGGCTGGGGTGGGGGAGATCAAACAGACCCCAGGGCTTTGGTCTTACCTACTGTGGGGGAGTACTGAGAGGGAAGGACTCGCTGGGGGTGTAGGGTGGAAGGGTCACACGCGCCATCTTCCTAGCCTCTGCTTGCAGCTCAAGGGTAAGTCCTCCTCTAACTTTTCCAGCTTCCAACACCCTTTGAAGCCTGTCAGTCTTATCAGAGTTTCATACCCATCCCCCCCCAAAGATACCTTAATCCTTCTGTTCCCCAAATCCTCACAGAAACAGGAAATGAAGTGAGTTTATTATTTGTAGACTTTAGGTATAAAATCTGGAAGGCAGGTTTTATCCTGCTTCTGAGAAGTACATGTCTCTGTGTTTCAGGCATCGAGAACCTTCCATGTGAGCTTCAGAGGAACTTCCAGCTCATGCGAGAGCTGGACCAGCGGACAGAAGGTAGGTCCAGGCTCTTTTGTCCAGCCTGTGGTGGGCCCTGGCAGCTGGGAGAGGTGACCCTGCTCCTCCAGGGCCCCAGGGCAATGGGGCTGCAACCCAGCCTTCAGCTTTGGGCCTTGGCTGATGTCTTATGGATGGTGTTGATGCTTTAAAATTCGACTTAGTGTTTTGGGTTCTGAAACATCTTCCTTTGGCATCTTCACAGCTGTCGTGGATTCCTCATTACCTTTCCTTTCTTTTAAAAGGTTTTCTGGTTCCAAACTGTGTACACACAGTTTAAATTTTTTTTTTTTTTTTTAAGATTTCATTTATTTGAGAGAGAGAGAGAGAGAGAGCAAGAGAGGGGAGAAGGTCAGGGGGAGAAGCAGACTCCCCGTGGAGCCAGGAGCACAATGTGGGACTCGATTCCGAGACTCTGGGATCACGACTTGAGCTGAAGGCAGTTGCTTAACCAACTGAGCCACCCAGGCGCCCCTCAAACTGTGTACACATGGTTTAAACAGATAGCACTTTGCAGTCTTCTGGTATTTAGCTCCCTGTTTCTAAACATCCTGGTTTTGCTGCTGTTTCTTACTTTATTTCCCTTTTGCTTTGGTCTTTATTCTGTTACTGTGGAATATGAAGGTTAGATCCCCCCATCCCCACTGTTTCCTGGTGCCGTGATGTAGACTCTGAGTCTGCTGTAGACCAGGAATGGCGTTTCCTTCAGGACCCCATGGCAGTGGCTTGCACCTGGGCCACATTGCGTGCTCTGCTTATGTGACCTTTTTCTGAATAACTGTTTTTCTTAGTGCTCAGAATTGCTTTGTTTTCCGTATTCCATATGCATTCCCCGTGTTCACTCTGTCTGCCACACGAGGTGCTCTGCCCGTCCCGAGTTCGCCCTCCTCACCAAACCTTTCTGCTGGAGCCTCCCATCCTGTGGCTTTTTTCTGGGCCAGTGGCTGGTGCACTGTCTCTGCTCATCTTTGGGGCAGGACCCTGATTCCTGTGTTGTAAACATCCTTTCTTGAAAACTTGCATTACTGGAGTCTTTCCTGCAGTAGCTCCCTGAAACATGGTACACGCTCTATGTCTGAAAACGTGCTTACATCATGGTTGATGAACACTTGGCTGGGTATAGAATTCCAGCTTGAAAATCATTTTCCCTCAGCATGTGGAAGGTGCTGTTGCGTTGTCTCCCAGCTTCCCTGTTGCCCTGAGAGATCTGCTGCTGTTCGCATTCCTCACCCTTGATGCATGTGCTCTTCTTTCCTTTCCTGTTTAGCAGCTTTTGGGCTGCTGTCTTTGAACCCGAGGTTTCATGTTTTGTGGCCATGTGCTTGGGCATGGGTGATTTTTCATTCATTGTGCCTGCCACATGTTTTGTAAGATCAGAATAGCTGTGGTTTTTCACTGAGCTACAATCACCTGACCAGTAGATACAGAGAATTCTGTTATTGTGAAAGTACAGCATTTGCGTTCAGGAATAAGTGTAAGTGTTTGTCCATTGCTTAACAAGCAGCACCTTGCAGACCTCTCCTGGGATAGAGGAATGGGGCCTCTGGTACCTGGGGCCCTGTGTAATCCGAGTGTGCCATCCCTCCCCCAAGGGGCTCCCACCCTCAGTTTCTTCTGTAGCACGTTTTTTTTACCTTCCTAAACCAAAGAGTTCACGGTTTTATGTGTTTGTCCTTAATATGGATGGTGTCTCCCTGCGAGTTGTCCTTCATGTCTTGCTTTTGTGGCTCACTGCTGCCTTCTGTGGGAAGAATCCCCGTGGCTGTGTGCCATTGGCTTGCTGTGTGAACGGACCACAGCATCTCAGTCTGTTTTACTGTGGATTGCACGTCGAGCATGTTTCATGTTGTCTGCACTGATGAATGTTTTCCTGTATGTGTCCTAAATCTGGGGGGCTGTGTATTGAAGAGTAGAATGCCGGGTTGTAGCCAAGGTGAGCACATGATTTGCTATTCCAACAGGGGCTGTTGGGAATCCGAGAGGTAGGAATACATCCTTTCTGGGAGGGCGGTTGCACACTGTCCCATCCTGGGTGTGCTGCCCGGGCTGTGGTGTCCACACGGCCCCTGATGTTGGGCTGTCTGCTGAAGGCTGTGCCTGCCGTGCTCCCACCAGCGTTCAGCCAGCCACTGCTTTGCTGCAACTTGGCTTTTTTTTTTTTTTTTTTTTAAGATTTTATTATTTGATAAAGAGGGAGAGAGAGAGAGTGCACACAAGCAGGGGGAGCGGCAGAGGGAGAGGGAGAACAAGCTTCCCGATGCGGGACTCGATCCCAGGACTCTCAGATCGTGATCTGAGCTGAAGGCAGACGCTCCACCCACTGAGCCACCGGGCACCCTGCAGCTTGGCCTTGTTCAGCTTTACTTGCTAGTGTAGAATCTCTTGTAGGGACTAGCTTTTCCCCCATTTCTGTATCAGATAAGAAAGCCGAGATTGACATCCTGGCCGCAGAGTACATATCCACGGTGAAGACCCTTTCTCCGGACCAGCGTGTGGAGCACCTGCAGAAGATCCAGAGTGCCTATAGCAAGTGCAAGGAGTACAGTGACGATAAGGTGCAGCTGGCCATGCAGACCTACGAGATGGTGAGGAGGCAGGGCAGGGGTCAGGTGGGGGGTTCAGGCTCCGCCCTGTCACACAGGGAGGGGCCTAGGGCTCAGAGTGCCAGGTGGGCTCAGGCTTTGACGGGGAGATGCTTCTTGAGGAAGCAAGTACTGGGGTGTCCTTTTGTAGGGACTGTCGTCCTGCAGTTTGGTTTCCGTGCCCTCTGTGGTTGTGCGTTTGGACGCTTTAGTGACTCTTTTAAGTTTTTGTGTGTTTTTAATGCCTCTTTTTGTCAGCTCTAGTTCAAGTATTAGAATTTGTTGTGTCCAGTTTTCTCTCAAGTAGCTTTGTGTGGGGCTCCCGTGGGGCACAAGTGATTGTCCTGTGATGCACATCAAGTTGTGTAGTAAAGGAAGGCCTGCATGCCATCCCCTGACTCCATTCCCTGTCCCCTGAGAAAAAACGGGAATTTTTTAAAAAACCTGAGTTAAGTTGTAGCTGAGAAAGAATACTCAAAAAGGAGAACGTAATGCTTATATTTGGGGTTTTGATGCCCCAAAGCACTGAATCTTTTTTTTTTTTTTTAAAGATTAATTTATTTACTTGAGAGAGAGCATGCGTGCATGGATGAGGGGATGAGGGTGGCAGGGAGAGGCAAAGGCAGAGGGAGGACCTACAGCAGACTCCTTCCTGAGCCTGACAGCACGGGGCTTGATCCTAAGACCCTGAGATCATGACTTGAGGCGAAATCAAGGATCGGATGCTTAACCACCTGAGCCCCCAGGCACCCCTGCCAAGTGCTGGATCTCTACAGTAAGCAGCCTGCTTTTTAAGAGTTAGGTTTCAGCAGTTGTCAGACACATTCAGGTTTTCTCTGAGTCATAATAGGTTTGAGATTGGAGCTTGTTTCCCGACAAGGATGGGTAGAGACAGTGACGCTTGGTGTGGCTTAATGGGTTCATTGCTGTGAGCCCACTGAGTGAAGGGATGCCTTGTGTTGCGTCCTCATGAAGTCCTGGCAGTCTCCCTGGAGGCTGCCTTTGTTGGGCAGTGTGGTCACTGTCATATTCCTGTGCTTCGACCATTGCCTTCTCTTTCTTCTTCTATCTTGTTCTAAATACAGTGTTAGAGGCCTTTTCTGTGAGAACCTGTATGTTCTTCAGATTTTTGAACTCAGGTTAAGTTAGGGTTCAGTATTATATGTCCTCATCCCCATTCCATTGCATTTCCCAGCTCCTTTTCTCATTATTGCCTCCCTTCATGGTTTTCCTGAGTAGGATTTCTTCTGTGGAGCTGTCAAAACGTGGGGACAAAGACCCTTCATGAACTGAGATAGTGGACCTTGTTTTAGGAGCTTTCTTTGTTGAAAACCCAAGTAAAGGGCAAGAAAGTACTTCCTGGTTGGTTTCCAGTGTATTTGGGATTCCTGAGGTGTTCTGCTTTCATTTTTAAGTAAGACTTGTGAGCATCCTTCTCGTTAGGTGGATAAACACATCCGAAGGCTTGATGCAGACCTGGCACGCTTCGAAGCGGATCTGAAGGACAAGATGGAGGGCAGTGACTTTGAAGGCTCCGGAGGACGAGGGTTAAAAAGCAAGTCTGTTAAGTTTTTTTTTATTTTGTTACTGTTACCTATGGAGTTTTGAAGAGTTTTTGGTGATAAACATGTCAGGAACATTATGGGAAATATATTTGAGTAATTCCTGTGTCCTGCTTTCGTGAATTTCTTGAGGGTAATTGGGGTTTTATTGTCTTTCAGAAGGTCGGGGTCAGAAAGAAAAAAGAGGCTCCCGGGGTCGTGGCAGGAGGACCTCAGAGGAAGATACTCCAAAGAAAAAGAAGCATAAAGGAGGGTGAGAGGCTCTTTTCCTTGTCTCCTTCTCTCCAAAGATTACTTAGCATTAGTATTTCCTTAGCATCTAGAAACACCAATGGCAGCTAACAGCGAGGATGTGCTTCCTGCATGCCCGCGGTGGGTGTAGTTCTGCATGCTTTCCACGGGCTGGCTCTGGCTCCGGCTTCGGCTCCGGCTCCGGCTCCGGCTCCAGCTGTGCTCGGCAGCCCAACGGGGTTCCCAGGGAGCACGACCAGCCCTAGGGTTCACAGCTCCTGCGCGGGGGAGCTGGGTTTGCCCCGGGCGGTCCGACTCCACAACCCACGCTCTTAGCCACTGTGTGTCCTGCCTCTCGAGAGACACTATATTTATTGACAGTTCAGGCTAAGCCACGCTTTAACAGCTAAATATATAGCTGTCCATTGTTTTATGTATAAATATATATTTTGGATATATTTGTTATTAAGTTGCATGACTGCATTTATTAAATATATGTATCATTTACCTTGAACTTCAGAATATTTCATTTAAAGCTTTCTCCCACCTGCTCCCCGCCAACCCCCAAGCTACTGTGTTGCTTCACAGAAGTGATTTTTAGAGTACAGAGAAAACAGTAAAGCGTCTGGTGACTTCCGTGGAGGTGGTTTTCTCAGTTAGGGGGAGATCTCAGAGAGTCTGTTCTTCACCAAAAAAAGGGAGAAGTTTTGGTTCTTAAACCTGGTGTTTAAACTTTTAAGAAAAACTCCAGATACCATCTTGCAGTATACAAACGCAGAACAAACATGTAGTTTAATGAACTCATCCGAGGCACATCCTTGTCTGTCACTGACTACTGCCAGAAGCACTTTTGTGTACCCTGTTGAAATCATAACCTCCTCCCTCTGCCCCAAGTGAACATGACCCAGACTTACGCCATTTTTATGCCCATTCTTTGTAGTTTTGTCCCCAACATGTACATTCCTGGACACTATAGTTTAATCTTGCTCTTTTTTTTTTTTAACCTTTTAGTTAACTTTATTAAGGAATAATTTATATACAATAAAATGTTCTTATTTTAAGTTTACAGTTTAGTGCTGTATTCAGTTTTTTTAAAGTTATGGAACTATTGAGCCTTTCTATTTCTTCTTGAGTCAGTTTTGGTAATCTGTCTTTCAAGGAATTGGTTGTTTCATGAGTCATCAGATTTATTCACATCAAATTGTTAATAATGTCACACAATTGTCTTTCTGTGTAGGATCTGTAGTGATGATTCCTCTTTCAGACCTGATGTTGATAATTCATGTCTTCTCTCATTTTGTCTTGATCTTCACAGAGAATTAGATTTTGGCTTCATTGGTTTTTATGTTTTCTCTATTGTTTGTTTTCTATTTCATTGATTTCTGCTCATATATTTTTTTGGGGGGTGGGGGCAGAGGGAGAGAGAGAGAATCTTGGGCTCCATGCCCAGCACAGAGCCCGATGCAGGGCTCAGCCTTATGACCCTGAGATCATGACCTGAGCCCAAATCAAGAGTCAGATGCTTAACCTGCTGAACCACCCAGGTGCCCCTGTTTCTGCTCATATTTTTATTTTTTCTTCCCATTACTTGGATTTACTTGGCTTTTTTTTTTTCCAGCTTTTTAAGGTGGAAGTAGCTTAGATCAGTGATTTTCGTACTTTCCGTCTTTTCTAATATAAGTATTTAAAGCTATAAATTTTCTTCTAGTTACTGTTTTAGCATACCCCACAAATTTGGATATGCTGTATTTTAATTTTTATTCCATTCAAAATATTTTAAAATTTCCTTTGTGATTTTTCTTTGACTCATAACTTATGTAGAAGTATGTTCTCAGTTTCCCAATAATTTGGGATTTTCCAGGTAGCTTTCTGATCTCATTTTTTAAATTAATTCTGCTATGATCAGAGAATATCATAAATAGAAATAATCTGAAATTGATTAAGAGTTGTGTTATGGTTTATGGTCCTGTCTTCCTGTATATTCCTTATACCCTAGAAAAGAATGTCATGTTTTACTGTTTTGGGTGGAGAGTAGATGTCAATCAGAAAGCTTGGTTGGTAGTGTTGTTGGTCTTCTGTATCCTTACTGATACTCCTTTATTCGATTGATAAATTGCTAAGGGAAGAATGTTGAAATCTCCCAGCTCTAGCTATGGACTTGTCTGTTTCTCCTTTCTGTCTGTCAGTTTTGCTTCACATTTTAAAGCTATGTTACTTCTTGTTACCTTTGCATTTAGGTTTTTCTAAAAATAGCTGACTACTTCATTGTTACGAGATGTCTTCCTTTTTTATTTCTTGTATTATTCTTTGTTTTGAAGTCTACTTGGTCTGATATTATGATGATCACTCCAGTTGTCTTATGATAAGTTTTGGCATGGTGGAGCTTTTTCCTTTTTCTTTCCTTTTTTTTTTTTTTTTTTTAAGATTTTATTTATTTGTCAGAGTGAGAGAGAGAGAGCATGCACAAGCAGGCAGAAGCAGAGAGAGAAGCAGGCTCCCTACTGAGCCAGGAGCCCGATGCGGAACTCGATCCCAGAACCCTGGGATCATGACCTGAGCTGAAGAAAGTGGCTTAACTGACTGAGCCACCCAGGCATCCCTTTACTCTCAACATATTTTTGTTTTTGTATTTAGAGTGGGTTTCTTGAAGTCAGCAAAGTTGGGTCTTGCTTTTTTTATCTAGTCTGAGAATCGCTGCCTCTTTTTTACTGCAATATTTAGAGTCTCAGATTTAACACAATTACTGATACGACTGGATTTAAATTTACCCTCTTGCTGTTAGTTGTCTCTGCCATTTCTTATTTTAGTGTCTTTTAGATTAATTAGGGTTTTTTTAAAAGATTTTATTTACTTATTTGACAGACAGAGATCACAAGTAGGCTGAGAGGCAGACAGAGAGAGAGGAGGAAGCAGGCTCCCCGCTGAGCAGAGAGCCGGATCCCAGGACCTTGGGATCATGACCTGAGCCAAAGGCAGAGGCTTTAACCCACTGAACCACCCAGGCGCCCCTAATCAAGTATTTTGTAGTGTTTTTTTTCCCATGGACTGTTCTAGTATGTACACCCTGTTCATTAAGTGAACTTCCAATGATATTACACTATTTCATGTTTAGTGTAAGGTCGAACCCAAGTATTTTTACCTCCTGTCCTTTGTGCTTTTGTCAAAAGTTTTACTTCTACGCATGATATAAGCCTCAAAACATGTTGTTATTATTTTAGGTCTAAACCATTAATTATATTAAACAGATTTTCAAACGTTTATTGTCACTCCACGCACATACCATTTCCACTGCTTTTGTTTCGTTATGTAGATGCAGATTTCCCTCTGGTGTCATCTCTCTCCTGCCTAAAGAACTTACTTTAACATTGTTTTATAGTGCAGGGCTGTTGGTGATGATGAATGTCCTCAAATATTTTCTCTGAAAATGTCTATTTTATCTCCTTTTTTGAAGGATGTTATTGATGGATATAGAATTTTAGATTTACTTTTTTCTTCTAGCGCTTAAGATGTCCCATTGTCTTTCATCTTGAATTGATTCTGATGAGAAATTAGTGATAATTTTTATATTTGATTTTTTTATATGTAAGTGGCTTTATTTTTGCTGCTTCTAAGATTTCCAATTAGTAATTTGATTTTTAATAACTTAATTATGATTTGTTCTGGCGTGGGTTTTTTTTATGTGTATTCTGCTTGGAGCTCATTGAGTTTCTTGGAACTGCTGGTTTATATTTTGTATCAAATTTGGAAATTTTTCAGACATTTATTCTTAAAATAGTTTTTTCTGCTCTCTTTATGTCTTTTTATTGGACTCACATTACATGTACATTAGCTTGATATTTTCTCACAGTTCACTGAGGCTCTGCTTATTTTTTTGGCCAGTGTTTTTCTTTCTATGTGTCTGGATAGTTCGTGTTTGGATAGTTTCTATTGCTTTATCTTCAAGTGTTTTCTTCTTCTTCTTCTTTTTTTTTTTTTTTTAAAGATTTTATTTATTTATTTGACAGAGAGAGATCACAAGTAGGCAGAGAGGCAGGCAGAGAGAGAGAGGAAGGGAAGCAGGCTCCCCGCTGAGCAGAGAGCCCGATGCGGGGCTCGATCCCAGGACCCTGAGACCATGACCCGAGCCGAAGGCAGAGGCTCAACCCACTGAGCCACCCATGCGCCCCAAGTGTTTTCTTGTTTGATGTCTAATTTAATCTTAATTTCCTTTAGTGAATCTTCCACTTAAGTGATTCTCTTGTAAAGAAGTTCTATTTATTTCTATTTCATACTTTCTGTTTTTCTTATTACATTTATATTTTTCTTAATGTTTTTGAACACAAGTATTTATAATAGCTTTTTGAAAGATGTTTTCTGAATCTATTTGTTACTTCCAAATATATTTTTTTCTTTTTAAAGACCAGTTTTTTAAGGTATGATTGACATACGGAAAGCTTTACATATTTAACTTATACAATTTGAATGGTTCAGCAGGTCTGTTTATTGACTGGTTTTTCTCATGGTTGAAGCATTTTTCTGCTTCTTCACATGTCTAGTGATTTTTCATGGGATGTTAGTGTGAATATTACGTTGTTGAGTGTCTGCATTTTGTTGTCTTTGGTTCGTGGGTATTGAATTTTTTTTTTTTCCAGTTTTTGTTCAGTGGTTTAATCACCTGTGGATCAACTTGATCCTTCATGGCTCTTTTTTTTTTTTTTAAGATTTTTTGTCTATTTGAGAGAGAGAGAGAAAGAGCGGGCACGCAAGCTGGGGTGAAGAGCAGAGGGAGAGGGAGAAGTAAGCTCCCTGCGGGCTTGATCCTGGGACTCTGGGATCACCACCTGAGCTGAAGGCAGATGATTCACCAACCGAGCAACCCAGGTGCCCTCGCAGGCTCATTTTTAACCTTTGTAAAAGAACCCTATTTTCTTAAAGGGCCAGATAGTAAATATTCTAGGCTTGCAGGGCTTATTGTCTTTGTTGTGACCATTCACTTCTGCTGTTTTATGTCAAAACCATCCACAAAAAGCACATAGCTGGGTGATGTGGCTGTGTTTCCATCAGACCTTATTTACAGAGACAGCCCGCCACTGCAGGCATCACTTCGCCAACCTCCAGGTGAGGGTAGCCTGGTTGCTGGGGTTGCTGATGTCATCCTGCTGAGGTGTGGCCCTTCAGGGTTGTCTTCTGAACGCCTGTTGACTGTAGTGTGGCCTCTCCCGGCAGGCTGGCTGGAGCTGTAGCACCACCAAGCCTCCATTGTTCAGCTCACAGCATGCCCGTGTTCTCTGCCTGGGCTCATGGATTCTCACCCTGGGCACAGCTTAGTTTTTTGTGAAAAACTCAAAGGGATCCCTTTGCAGATTTCTGGGGCACATTCTCTTTACCCTCGTCCTTTACAGCACCTCACCAGCAGATTCCAGCAGCCTTAACCTCCTGGAAATTTGGGGTCTTCCTCCGTTTGACACACTGTGCTGTATTTGGTTCTCCTGTTGGCGGGCTGGGTGTGGGAAATGCAGCCAGCAGGGCTCACCTTGTTTGTTTACCTTCGCCTGGGGTTGCAGTCCTCAGCTGCCTTTTGTCAGTGTCTGGAAACAGCTGTGTGACATGCTCTGTCCTGTTTTCTAGCTGTTCACAGTAGGATGCAAGTTCAGTGCCTGTTGCTAGGTCCCAGTCGAAGTGGAAGCTTTGTTCTTTTCTTGTGTCGCTAAGCCCTGTTAGTCTCTTTCACTTGGGCGTTTGTCTCCTTCCCTTTCTTTCTTCACAATTTTCCTTTCAAAGAACCTAGACTTTTGACTCCTGGCATTTCCCAGGGTTTTGATGTTGCTGACAAAACACGAAACCCCAAGAGCGTATCTTCACTAAACATTAAGACAGTGCTTCTCCTCATTTGCTCGGGGGATTTGTTTGAATTTTGACTGGGGTCGCCTAGTTCCATGAGCTGGCGCTCTGTGGGTCCGGCGGAGTTGAGCCTCTCCTGGGGTTGCAGCCACATTTTCCTGCTCTTTCTCGCATCCCATGGTTCTTCGTATCTGTCTGACTTCAGGTGTGCGAGGAGTATGTGGGGTGAGATTTCTCCCCAGGAGTTTCTTTTGCTTTTGGTGCAGGCAAACTGAGGTGGGTGGGGGCTAGGGGCCCTTTGCCTGGGCCTAGTCCCCTCTGATGTCGAAGCCTTATGAGGGGAGGCCGTCCCCCATTCTTGATGGGAACCCATGGTTTATTTCTCCTTCTTGAAAGGCTCCCTGTGTGGCTGGGCAGCGCTCTTGCAACGTGTAGCTTTCCTGTCCTGTGTCCTGCCTGCCGTGTTGCTGTGGTTGGCAGAGGTCAGGAGGAGGCAGGCCCTTTCCCTGAGAGCGCCACACGGATCTTTGCTCAGCCTTCCTGCCACTCTGCAGCAGCTGCAGGGCTCCCGGGTTCACTAAACAGGCTATGGGGTCCCTCCCGCCCTGAGTGTAAGGGTCGCAAGTGTCTGCAGCCATGATGGCTCGGTGCATCCCCCGGAGTGCAGTCAGCCCTTGGCTGAGCCCAGGAGTGGGGCAGCCTGCCAGCTCGGCCACCGCCCCTCCCTTGCCCCGGGCGCTTCTGGCCCATGTCACTCCACAGCTTTGCCAGTGTCTTTAAAACATGGTCTTAGCAGCTTACTGGGCTTGTTTTCTTGACTTGTAGCTGCAGGGTTCTGAGTCTTCCTGCTCCTCGATGATCAGAACCCAAAGCACAGTGGCCTCTTACGGAGACAGTAGGTGCTGTCATTGGCCTCCTTCTCTTGTGGGGAACAAGGCCCCAGCCTCCCTGGCGGGGCGTGCACCTGGCTGTGCTCAGACCTCATGGTGACCCATGTGTCTAGCCGCTGCCTATGTGGACACACTTGAGATGAACGAGCATGCAGCTTCTCCCTGGACAGAGCTGTGACAGTGTGCACATTGCCGACCACTGTCTGATGGTGCTGAGGAGGTGGACCATGTGGCTGCTGCTGCCCCAGCTTTTCTTCTGGGCTGGCTGCAGCTGAGAAGGGGAACTTCGTGGGGGAGGTCTGCAGAGCACCTTGGCAGGCAGGTTGGGCTGGACTTGGCCCTTCTGCGTGAAGTCCTTCTCCACGGCCCCCCAGGGCAGCTGTGCTGTTCCTGTCCTACTGTATGGATGTCGGGACAGCCCAGAGGGGCTCACTGGGGTGACAGGTGTGTGAGGGCTGCGTGAGCAGCTCTGGGCCTGCTCGAAGTCTTGCTCCGATGTGCATTGGGATGCACAGCGGAGGTTCAGACACTGGAGGGGGGTTCCTGGGGCTGCCCGGGGAGGGGTACCCACCGTGTCTAGGGAAGTGAGCTCAGAGGACACCGCTCGTGCCCAGCACGGCTGACATGGGATTTGTAGCCTGCCTGGTGGGCTTGGCCTCCCTGGGACCTCCTGGCATTCCCTTCCACCCTCCCGCCCCAGAACCCCCTCAGCTGAGACGGGAGGGAGGCGGCCCTTGAACCTGGGGAATGGGGGATCAGGGCTGGTGTCAGCTCGCCATGTGGTAGTTGAGTCAGGCTTTGCCAGCAGAGCACACAGAGCCGCCGAAGCGCAGTCAGCACATGGAAGGCGCGTGCCCTGAGTGCGCCTGTGGGGGACCCCACGCGGGTTGGCACTGAGCATCCAGGTGAGTGCCCGGGGATGGAAGCCCACTGATGGGAGGGACACATCCAGCAGCGGGTGAGGGTGTCAGGCCAAGCCGAGAAATCTGCTTGGCAGAACAACTGGAGACCATGTCCCTGCCTGGAGGGTAGCTGAATGCCTGGGGCGTGTGGAGAGCTTGTAAGCATGTGTGAGAGTGTGTGGAGAGCATGTGAGCATGTGTGGAGAGTGTGTGCATATGTGTGGAGAGTGTGTGTGTGTGTGGGGAGTGTGTATGCACATGTGAGCGTGTGTGGAGCGTGTGTAAGTGCATGTGGAGCAGGGTACTTTTCGTGATGCATCCAGATTTCAGATAAAAAGAGAAAGCCCTGTCTGTTCCCAGAGACAGACAGCAGCTCAGCTGTGGAGGGCAGAGGCTGCGAAAGGCTCTGGAGCCTTCAGGGACATCACTTCCTCCATCCGAGGGGTGGTGCTCTCTGTGGGGGACAGCCACTGGGACAGAAGATGGCGCTCTTGGTGGGGTACTAGGACAGAGGATGGTGGTCTTGGGGGCGGCGCTGGGATGGAGGAGGGCAATCTCGGTGGGGGGTGCTGGGACAGAGGATGGCGGTCTCCGGGGGGGGTGCTGTGATGGAGGATGGTGGTCTCAGGGTGGGGGGCGCTGGGACGGAGGACAGTGGTCTTGGGGGTGGCGCTGGGATGGAGGACGGTGGTCTCTGGGGGTAGGGGGGCGCTGGGACGGAGGACGGCAGTGTGGCATGGAGGCACAGGGCTAAGCCTGGGATCTGACTGTAGAGGCGCAGAGTATTTCCTGACAAGAGTTTGGGAGAACAGGGTGGCAGTAGCTTCTGGGACATGTCATCGGTGTGCTTCTCTGTGACCTGCTGCGGTTTCTCAGCTCCCTCTCAAGCTCCTGGTGTGAACTGGCTGTGTCCCCGCAGCAGTTGCGTGTTCTTGATTCTGGAGGGGGAGGGAGGGTGGTCTTTCTTTGCCAGTCAGAGCAGAGTGTCTACATTGTCCGGTAGTGGCAGGTTTCTTTGAAGCTGCCAAATCACGGAAAGAGTGAGCACCCCAGCCCTTCACGCTCTCTTGCAGGTGAATGCTCCCTTCAGCTCTCCCCACTGCTTAGCTGCAGGGCTATGGGCAGCCCACAGGGAGGGAGGCTTGGGCAGGCTGGATTCTGGCTGGGCCACTGGTTCCTGACCTAGAGGGGCAGTGGAAGTGGGGAGCAATAGGCCTGCTTCACGGGGGTGGGTGGGTGACGGCGCCATGTGGTCAGAAATGGCCTGCTGGCAGGTGGGCAGCTGGGGGTGGGAGGGGGTTCCCAAGACTGACAGCTCCAGGAATGGGGAGGGCATCTGGAGGTTTCTGGATTTTGGGGTGAAGGTCCCGTGGGCATGTGTGGGGTGGAGATGTGGTCCTGGGTGTGTGGGTGAAGGCGGCAGGGTCAGTCTTGGTTGAGGTCCAGGGTTCTCCAATGTCATCAACTGGCGGCTGGTGAGTTGGGGGTTTGTGCCTCCACCGAGGGAGAGGATCCCCAAGAGGCTGGGGAGGGTGGATCTGGGGCAGGGGGGTAAGGGAGCCCAGGAATTAGGTCCTGTCCAGATTGAGGGACAAGACAGAGATGGGTTCGTGCCCCCAGAGTGGGGCCAAACCCCAGTGCTGGGTGGTGAGAACCTCCCCTCACATCCTCTGGGGTGCCTTTGTGCCCCTCTTGTGCCAGGGGCATGCTCCATCCCTGCCCACCTGTGCTCACGGCCGGGGTTTCCCTGCAGGTCTGAGTTCACCGACACCATCCTGTCTGTGCACCCCTCCGATGTGCTGGACATGCCTGTGGACCCAAATGAGCCCACGTACTGCCTGTGCCACCAGGTGTCCTATGGGGAGATGATAGGCTGCGACAACCCAGACGTGAGTGTGGGCGCTGGCATGGGCTGCGGGCGGGGCCGGCATCCCTGGTAGTGGGGTGAGGGGTGTGGGTGCTGGGCATGGGCTGCGGCCTGGAGCGTGCACCCTGGTGTCCGGCCCATGGAGTGCAGGAGTCCTGACTATGGCCTGTCCTCTACTTTGCAGTGTCCTATTGAGTGGTTTCACTTCGCCTGCGTGGATCTGACCACGAAACCCAAAGGAAAATGGTCAGTATGGGGCGCTGCTTGGTCCTTCCCTGTCTGTGGGGCATCCTATGCGCCGTTCCCCTCTGAACCGGGCCCCCCAATGCAGCGCTCCTGGTTCTTGGGGCTGAGCTGCTGGGGGGACAGCTGCTGCCCTCCTCACCTGGGGGCAGGTCTCTAATGACATTTGTGAGATTCTTGGAGAGAACAACTGTTTTGATTCTTTTTTTTTTTTTTTTTAAGATTTTATTTATTTGACAGAGAGAGACCACAAGTAGGCAGAGAGGCAGGCAGAGAGAGAGGGGAGGAAACAGGTTCCCCGCTGAGCAGACAGCCTGATGTGGGGCTCGATCCCAGGACCCCGAGATCATGACCTGAGCTGAAAGCAGAGGCTTAACCCACTGAGCCACCCAGGTGCCCCTGTTGTGCCTCTCTTTATTGAGGTAGAGATACTCTGAAATACAGATGTGAAATGGAGAGCTCTTGTCCCTGGAGAAGTTTTGGGAAAAGGCAAAGAGGACAAACATTAAGATGGTGCAAACTTGGGCATAGGCTGGGCAACTGCTGAGGGGCCTCTGTTGCATTGGGAAGGTGCTCGGAGAGCGTGAGCCCTTTCTGTTCCTGATCCTTGGGTTCAGTGGCTGCAGCAGCTTTTGTGTTGTTCTGAGATTTCTGAGGTTTCAAAAAAAAGCAGGTTTTATTTATCTGTGCTTAGAAGGGACGTACACCCTAAAATGAAATCCTGGAAATCTTGTTCTCCAGCGGAGAGGAGAAAGCCCCAAAGGACAGACTGTCATTCCAGGTTTCAGGGGGTGCTAGCAGCCCCGTGCAGACCCGGCACCGGGTCACCTCAGGGAGTCTGAGTAGCCATGGGACTCGCCCCTGACAGAGCCCTGCCGCCTGGGCGGGCACCTGAGTGGGAGGTGGGGGGGGCTGCTGGCCCACCTGTGTGGCAGATGTGGCTCGTGGTGGGGCACGAGGCAGGGAGATTTGGTTTGAGTTGTTTGTGGAAATCCTGGGTGGAAGAGTCCGTAGGTTATGGAAAATCATTTTGCTTCTGGGAGGGCCGTGCAGATGGGGATCCCCCCACCATGTGGTAGGAGCAGGGCAGGACGAGCAGTGTCAGGAAGGCCGGGTGGGCCCCGCCACTGCTGTGTAACTCTGTGTTTCTCTGGGGTCTTTCCAGAAACTCAGTGTTCAGGCAGCTTCCCTTTTAAGCCTGCAGCTCTGACACGTGTTCATGCTGCACAAGTGTTACGTAGGCCTGTTTGCTGTGGAGGGGGCTTGGCTTCCTCTGAGGCTGCAGCAGTGGCGTGCTGGGTGCTCACTTCCAGGCACGGACCTGACCCTTGCAAACAGGCCTAGGGCTGGGATGGGCCCATTAGCCGCCTCCTGAGTCAGGAGCCAGGAGGGCCTAGGTGAGAGCAGGGTCACCAGGGAGCCCTGGCTAGTCATGCAGGTCCTAGGGCCCGTCAGCACGCCTGGCTGAGTGTGCCACATACCGTGCTCCACTGTGCTTGGTCCCCAGTGTGACTGCGCGTGTGGCCTCCAGTGTGATCAGTGGCGACCACAGGAGTGCCCAGGGATGACCAGTTAACTTGACTTTGAGGAGCATTCGTGGACAGAAACAGTTTTCCTCACTGACTTGTATTTGTCGACTCCAGAACATGCTGACCAGGGTGACTCACTGGGGTTCCCCTTGCCGGGGGTTTCCCGATGCGACAGCTGTGTGCTCTGAGCACTGTCCCCTGGCACTGTCTGGTGGCCCGGGGAGGCAAGCTGGGGCCTCGGCACGCACAGGGTTGATCCCTGTGTCTTTCTTCTCAGGTTCTGTCCACGGTGCGTTCAGGAAAGGAGGAAGAAGAAGTAAGGTGGATGCCCGGACCAGAAGAGCAAGTTAATATATTCCTTCTTCACGTTGCAATATTTTCTCTTCATTTTAAAACTACCTTGTTTCCAATGATATTTAAGAACTCAGTGGCCAGTTGTAATTCTGGAGACTTCCTAAAACAAACAAGAATCCTCCTGAGCCCTGTTTGCACGAGGAGTGGTCTTACGGGGACTCGTCATGGTGACTTTGTTCTAGAGACGTGGTACTGGCTCTGTGCTGGGGAGCTGAGCCTTCCATGGGCGCCGTGGTGGGGACCGTCCAGCCCATGCACTGCCGTCCCTCTGCAGCTGAGGCGCAAGCCCGCGTGCTCCGTCCTGCTTTGCTGGGGCTGCGCCAGCACGTCGGGCAGCGTATCTGTCCTCTGCAAGGCCTTGCCAGAGTCGTCTGCTGTGTTCAGGCTCTGCACCAGAGCCCATGGCCTTGCCTGGGCAGGGTGGGCTCTCCCTGGGGGCGGAGCGCTCTGTTTCACTGTGCACTGCCATTTCCGTCTGAGCTCCCTGTTCCCTCTGTGAGGGTTTCATCTTCTGGAGTAGACGCTCTCCGTCAGCACACAGCAGTCGTTCCTGTGACTGGCCCACGGGAGCCGTGTGACAGACAGCGGGTGCGCCATTTCTCTGGGAATTCCTGACATTTTTACTGTGAAGATGAAATTATCATAACAGCATGGAGATCGTGGGTCCGTGTGTCTGTGAAGTGAGTCTAGTCCAGTGAGACCTGATTTTAAACCTGTTCTTTCGCACACGGGTCGGTCAGCAGCTTCTGTCCAAGGGGACGACGATCATGTGATACGATGTGTGAATTTCTTGTGCCACGCAGTCCTGGAATGAAGCTGGCAAACTAGAGTGTGTCTTCTGTTTAATCTGCATTCACCAAACCAGTCCTGAACCATGTTTTTGGGAATAGTTGGGGGAAATTACATATGCTTGGCGTGTTGCGATACATTTGTGATGGTGCGTAGTGTGACTTCTGGGAACATGCGTGGACTCGGAGACCCTCCGGCACACGTCTAAAGGAGTCCGAGGAGTCCTGAAGAAAGGGAAACCTGTTTCTGTCCTTGAGGCAGGAAAAGAAATCCAGGAGGCAGGGTCAAGATGTGAAATTCCTAACTGACGAAGAATCTTGCCTTCTTTATCAGGAGGCCTTCTGGAATGGTGCACCTGCTTTCTGCAGTGGCCGTGTCTACCATATGTTCCCACCTTTTCTCTAATATTTCACCAACAGCAGGAGATGACGTGGAGAGAAACTTGGGGGACTGTGTCCTGCATGGCCTCTCCTCACCAAGGCCGTTTCCAGTCGGTAAATGAGAGGTGAATGTTAGCTTTGACATCAGAGGGCCGTGAGCCCCTATCTGTGGTTCTCAGCGGGTCGGCCAGCGCCCCACATGCTGTCCCACCGTCCCTTCGGGGCTTCCAGGGCACTGCAGGTGGGGTCAGTTTGGAGAGCGCCACCCATTCTGTCCCGTGCTGCATGGTTAGGGTAGGGGGTCAGCAGCTGGCCTGACGAGCTATCCCAGAGCCGATGCCTTCCTGCTGCCCAGAAAGGAGGGGTGGGGGGCTCAGGAGGAGCACCGGCCGGCTTGCGCTCCTCAGTCTCAGCTGTGGCCAAAAACGAGGCTCGTTTGTATTTAGTCACTTAGATTTTTGTTAACACAGGTGTTTAAAGATTGTGGGGAATAAATTGTGGAAAACTGTTTCCTTCACTCTTTTACCAGTCTCTGTGGAGAGGGCAGGTGAGCGCACGAGTTTGTGATGGCCCTTTGGAAGCTGCTTTACTATTTGCACTGCATCTTAGAACACTTCCCGGCCGCCGTCATCATGGGAAACCAGTGCCCAGGGGGTGGCTTGGTGGCTGTCCGGGGTGCCTGGTCCGGGGCCTCACTCACAGCGCAGGAGGGCTGGCCAACTTCCCTGTGGGGTCTTGCGTGTCGCCGGGTTACAGCCCAGCCGCCGGCCTTCTCTTTGTAGGTCTCTGTACCCGCTGTCTCTTGCGTTCACCTCGGTTACGTAAATATCCCTGGAACAACATGCATAGGTAGAGCTTTGGAGAAGACAAGACGTGAGCAGAATCGGAAGATTCCCTCCCCACAACGCTGTTTGTGTCAACACGGATCCGCTGCCCCTTCCTGACTGCGAGTGCTGCCCATAGTTGCAGCGACACCCAACAACGGCTGTTTGCTGAGGAGACCAGGTCCTCCCCCTGGCCTGGCTCCAGCCCTGCACGGGTGGCTGGTGCCCCTGACGATTGCGCCGTGAGGCCTGGCCGCCGACAGTGGGGTGATTCCCACCAGATCCTGTGCGCCTGCCAGGAACCAGACCTGACCCAGAGGTGGCTGCAGGACCCAGGTTCCTTGGGTTGAGCGGGGGTCTGGGCTGGGCCCAGAGGTCCCTGTCTCAGCTGCATCTGAGCCAAGGGCCGTGGGGCTTCCTTGCAGGGAAGGGGCACCTTGTTCAGAGGACGCTCATGGCCCTTGCTCTCAGTGCTCTGTTAGCAGTCAGTAGGTTGACAAATAGCCTCTTGTTTCCTGTAGAAGAACACATGTTGCACTTGCAAAAATAATGTGTGAAACTGAGCCCCCTGCAGCCGTTGCCCATGGAGCTGCCGGCTGGGCTGCAGACAGAGCTGGGCCCGCGTGCCTGGGGTCCCCAGGTGGCCGGCTGTGAGATGTGACCGGCCACGGCCACGGGAGCCTGGTGGCTTCCGGTCTGCGCAGGGATGATGGAGATTTGCTGGGACATGTGGGGACGATGGTCCTCTCCTGGGCGGCCACAAGGCACTCCTGACTTGTAGCTGGCTGCCCAGGGCAGGGTTGGCTTTGAGCAGTAACGCTGTCCCGAGAGCAGCTTCCCTGTGTGGCCGTGGCTGGAATTCGGACACTTGTCATGGGCCTTGGAGATGGAAGGTTTTCCCTAGTTGTTAGTGAGCCGGGACTGTTCCTCATTCCCTGTGCCGACAGAAGTTTTAAAACAAAGTCTAAGAAAAATGTTCTCATTCAGAAGAGAGTTCTATGAAGTTTCTTTCTTTCTACAAATGTATTTTGTGGTGTTCACTTTTACCACATTTCATCCAAAAAGATGATGCAGCTTTAACACGAATGTTACATTTTATTTTCAAGGAATTATCTATGTTCCATTTGTAAAGGAAAGATAATATTGTAAATCTTTTTATTAAATAATGTAGAGATGTATATCTGTATTTTTGGATCATGTTCTAGATTATGGATATATTGTTTAATAAATGAAGTATTTTTTGGAACAAAGGTTTGAGAAGGAGTCATTCTAGGAAATGATAAACGCTCAGTGCTATGGCCAGAGATGGTAAGTGGACCCTCTGGTAAACTTTGAGGGTCACGGCTTGGCTGCCACTGTGTTCGGAACCGGTCCCCAAGCCCCCGAGAAACGTCCTTGTGGACTGCTTGGAGTTGCTCTTTTATAAAGGCATAAAGTGCTTTCTCTGGAACAGAGGTCTGCGCTCCCAGATCTGCACAGGCATGAAGACCCCTTGGGGAACTAAATAGTACTTAGGACATTTTTCTTTGAGGAGTATTAATGGTCAGGGTCCTGAAACCCAGCTTGGTCACCACAACGGACAGGCCCAGCCTCTCACTTGTTTTCCAGATGAAAACCAACTCACAGACCCAGAGTCCTAGCTGGAGGTCGGGCGAGGTTCTGACGGAAGGGCCTGGAATGCCTCCACAAGCACGCATTCCCTCTGGGCACTCCAAGGGTCCCTGCAGCCATTTGTTGGGGTGACTGCCTAGAAAAAGGGAACACCAGTGGGGTGGGTGTGGTAATCTTCACTGGCTCTTAGTGGTTAGTAAGTCCCAGAGGTCCACAATGCCCCTGGTCGACTAATCCAGGAGGGCCTACCATTATCAAGTGACAGGTGACATTTGTCTGACTGTGTCCACAGACTCTGTGCTTGTCTTCCCACAGCTGGAATGTGCCATTGAAACACACTTGAAAACTGGCAGAATCCCACATGGATTCACATTGACCTGTGGAGCAAGGGCCATTACCATAGGGAAGCCAGGTGGAAGTCTTTGGAATGTCCTTTCCTTGCCAGGACAGTCATCCAAAGGCAAAATACATCCCTAGTGGGAAGACTTAGTGGTGACGTATGACATACTTAACACACGTGGACGGGAGGTGGGTGGGTTATAAGGAATGTAGTTTTCTGGAGACACAGGTGATGCGTCCAGCTGCAGCTGCTGTCCCCATCTGGCATCACTGCCAGAGTTGGCACATGGCATGCTGTCATGGATCTGGCCTGTGCTCGTTCTCTCGGCCAATTTGCAACACCATGAGGAGCCATTTGTCCTGTGTGGCAAAGCCAACAGGGCACCTCCACCTGCTGGCCTCCGTCCTGTGGACCAGATGTCTTCGTTATTTTAACATCCCCAGAGCATCCTGTCAGCTCCACTGTCGGCATCTGTAACCGGGTAACTGGATGAGCCCAGCAAGCGCTGGAGATGCCCCAGGAGAACAGCAGGGAGCCAGAGGGAGGGAGATGAGCCCCACTCCTGAACCAGGTTCACTGTGGCAGCAGTTCGATGTGGGGTGTTGGGAGAAAAGTCAGAAGGGGAGCACAGAGGTGATGGGGATTGCAGGAGCAGGCTGGTGGGGGGTGTACCGGAGTTGGTGGAGGGAGCAGCCTGTAGCGGGAGCGAGGATTAGGACTTGGAGCCCTGGAGGGCTGGCTGCCCTGCTGTGGGTAAGGTGGGGTGGCACGTGTTGCAGAGCTCAGGGAGGGGGTGCCCCGGGGAGCTGGGACCCAGTGGCAGCTTGCACCCCTGAAGGGAATGTGACGAGGCCAGAGGTGGCACAGTGCTGCAGGGCTGATGCCACTGGGACATCCATCAGCCACCCCTGCTTTTGTCTTCTTCAGGTGCCCAGGCTTCACAGCCCCAAAGGCCAGAGGTCAGAGGGCCTGCCAGAGCCCATGGTGGGGCTGTAAGAGGCAGCATTCCTGCCAGGCTGCCTTTGCTTCCCGCCTGGGGCGGTGTCAGGGCCACCCAGCTCTGGCATGGTCCCTCTGACCTCTCCTCACTTGAGCCTTTGTTCAGGAAAAGGCTCAGGTTGTGTGGCACAAGCAGCTTTCCGAGCCTTGTGGCTTCTGCCTGGGTTCTTGGGAGCCAGAGTTTCCTGCTAGGAGCAGGGGTTGGGGGGAGGAGGGACAGTTCTCTGGGGGTAGCCAGAGACCCCTGGGGGGAGCAGAGTTCCCTGGGTGTGGGGAGCCAGAGACCCCTGGTGGGGCAGAGTGCCCTTGAGGGGGCAGAGATCCCTGAGGGAGCCAGAGACTTCTGGTGGGGGACAGAGTTCCCTGGGGGGAGCCCTGCAGCCGGGCAAGGAGCGGGGTGGTTATGTGGACCACGGTAGAGCCGGCCCTGGG